CTGCCACTTTCTTCTTGCGGAAGGTATCAGCTTTGGTCCGAGACTGAGGGTTGTTCTGCCAGTCAGTTAAAGCAGCACATTTATCCTCAACGAGTACATTGATTGCCGGGTCATTTTCATCAAACCAGTCCTGGTGTATTCTTTCAATCTGGCCGAGGGTCTCTCTGTAGGTTTTTGTCATGACAGCGTCGAGAATATTCCATTCTGCACTGGGATATGGGTTGTTTGCTGTTGGGCTGTTTATCAGCCCACACACACACACACACACACACACACCTAGAAAAAGTGCAAAAGATGGCATGCAAGATTATTCTCTCCCCTTCCTACTCCACATATCAAGAAGCGCTCAACACACTGACCCTCTGGGCTCTCTCTGACCATCACCACGACCTCATTTGCAAATTTGGTGAGAAGCTTCTGCACCATCCTCGACACCGGCTCCTACTACCACCAGAGATCCCTCGTCCGAGAATTGCTGTTCGACACCACAACTGCATCCAGCCCATATGAGTACGAACTCATCGCTATAAGAACAGCCCAGTCCCAACCATTGTAAAAATTATCAATAACTTGTAATCAACCAGTGTATTCACTCCCAGTCAATCTTACTTTCTGCACTGTCACTTTGTTGAAATGCCCTGTAGTTTGAGCTTCTCCCCACCTAGTTATTATATATCATATTTGTATCACTTATGTTACCTGTATATTATTTGTAAATCAAGAGACCCATTCCCCAATTACGTAACTGTATATTTTCAGCCTTCCGGCTGTCATGCTCTTTCAATAAATCTTTATTTGTTTTTTATTTATTATTATTAGTATACATACACTCGCACATACCGTTAAAATCTTAATTCCAATCTTCACCCATGAAAATAACTTTAGGAGAAAACCCCAAAATGTTTCATGAAGCTTGATTTCTCTATGTAAAATATTTATATGTACATAAATAATATCAAATACTCTATACTTTTGTTAATACTGGATTTATAAATAAAAACAAGTGTAAGGCTACATCGTCGTTTATTTGACGTAAAATTTTTAATAGTCTTACATATAAATTGGCAAGAGGATTATACGGAATGGGACAAAATTAAATGCCATGTATAAATTTAAAATACTGAAAGTGAATTAAAACAATACAAACAATGATCAGAAATTATAATAATATAATTTAAACCTTTGTTCTGTAATTATAATACAAGTGTTAGCTGTGTTAGTAATTATAATAATTACAATAAGACAATAGGGGAGCTGGTGGTAGAGCGGTACGGTTCTTGCCTCACAAGCAAGATGTCACGGGTTCGATTCCCGGGCCGGCAGAAGTTGTTTGGACTTACTTCCTATCCCCCATTAGTCCCTGTTCACCTAGCAGTAAAGTAGGTACCTGCTGTAAGTCGAAAGTTGCGAATTCGTATTCAGGGACAAGTTGTTGGAACTTCCAATAATTTGATGACATAAGCCACTGGCTCTTCAGGCTTCTACGCCCTTAACTCATGAGACATAAAGGCAAGCATGAACTTAGCATGCTTCCCTGTTGGGTACTGTAAACGCTTCTGCGCTTCACCTTGCACAAGGATGTAGGGGAGTGCCCAATAAAAAAAAAATAGAAAATATGACAATAGTATTTATAATAATATTAGTAATAACAATAATAGTAATGATAATAATAATAATAATGTAGTAGTAGTATTAAAAATAATAACAGTAGTAATAAAAATAATAATAATAATAATAATAGTAGTAGTAGTAAAAATAATAATAATAGTAATAATAATAATAATAATAATACCTTTATCATCATTTTTTACAGTAATATTATCATTAATAAAAATGAATCGAGGAAATCACAAGGAGACCTACTCGGCTGTTTGTATGTTAAAAATTCGATAAGACTAATAAACTAAACGAACAGTATACAGTATATATACAGCGGAAGTGAACCTATTGGTATATATGTATATATACACTCTCTAAATGTATTATCCTAGAATCAGTGTAAAATAAATGTGGGTCCCATAAAAATGACTGCCCGTTGGAGGCATTCATCTCCTTAAGTTGGAAACCTTGGCACCCATTTACAGCTGAGTGAGCTAGCAGTGCCCAGGTATCGAAACACCGATCCATGGAACAAGAAGTAAGTGCTGTGTCCATTCGATCGCCGATCTCCCAAAGTCTGAGAGGGACAACAGAAGCACAGTTTGCCGGTAGCTGTGAATTAATGTTAAAGACTAAAACAATGCTTACAGCTTATATCTATTTAACTTACAGAAGGTACAACAAGATGGATGTCAACGGTATACAGGGTGTCTCATAGAGCGCAGCCATATAAGAATTGATTGTTTTCTTTTTTTCAGGTGAGGTACTCATATTAAATCAACGATGATGGCTGCTAAATTTACACTACAGGAATGAGTAGTTTAATAATCAGTTTAATATCCAAATGGTACTGAATTGTGGTAATTGGATATACAAAATACACGTTTTCTGGTCAATCCGTAGCCTATCACACTTGAGGCAACTAACTCTAAGGAGTTACCGATAACATTATTACGTTTCATGGCCATCTTCGGGAAGCAATATGATCAGACTGTGGCCGGGAACAATATTCAGCTCAGTGGTGTAAAGAAAACAGATTTTTTTTTATATAATCTGTGTCTACGTATCTCTTGAAAGCTGAGTTTTCAAGGGAATATCTAAAAGTAGGCCAACTCTTGTGAACTAGTGGATAGTGTCTTAATGGATAAAAACAAGGTGTACAAGAATGACTTCCTCGGTCTGATATGTTTCGGGGCGAACCTTCTGATTTATATGTTAAATCCAAGAGGTATAAGTAATTGAAGAAGTCGGTAGTAGACAAAGATCCTGTCGCGGGTGCTGTTATTTCGAGCTCCTTTCTCTTTCTTTCCTGAGCATGATGGTGTGAGTCTCCTGATCTACACGCAAATACGAGGGTGTGGGGTTTTGCCTTAAATTTAGTCTCAGGAACGAGTTCAGCCACCTGCTTCCTCTTCACTGTGGGAGGTCTGCCACTCCGGTGCCTCGTGTTGACATTGCCTTCCCGTCTCCAGCGCTTGATCCATCTGCAGACGGTGGTGGCGCTCGTGCCCGTCTTCCGGGCTATGGCTCGGGCGGACATTCCTTCAACCCACATCCACACGAACTTGGTGCGGTCAGCGAAAGCTGTTGGTTTGACTTTTCGTTGTCCATCCATTCTACCCCTGTGTAAGGATCAAATATACGTTTCACTCCCGAAATTCTCGAAATCATGTCAACAGCAAATAGTATATGTTCTGTGGCTACACTCAATAAAAAAATATAAAATCCACAATTATACTCAGTTATTATTACTGCATCTTTTATATGTATATGGAGCAGTGTCTCATGTCGTCCATGAAAAACGGCGTGGACATTTCTCTCAGTATGTAAACTTTAATTCATCTGCAATTATTTACACAAAAAGTTTTCTTATGGTAATCGTCGTCATCATATTCGAGCAAACATGGACACAAAGGGAAACGAATGACAACATTTGTAGGTATTTCATATTATTCACTTAATGAGAAAACTAATAAATTAAAGAAAGTATGATCAAGCGTTTTCTGATATTTAAATTCATTTCTCGTGTTTTATTTCTTTCTAATAATTCAAGGAATACAAAAGCTGACAGACATATTATTCTTCGGACAACGTTTTGCAGAACTAATGTGAAAAGGATTTTTTTTAATAAACAAGCTTATAATTACATATAATTAAATGCATCGATAAACTAAATTTTCACAATTGAAAATCAAAGTTTATCATTGATAAATATTTCGACAATTACAATTACTTGTAGCCTACAAATGAATGTTTTCCTCTATTCAACCAAAATGGAAATATTTTCCTGAATATGGAATTGTTTGCAACTTTCGTGAAATTAATGTAATTCGTAAACTTGAACAATACGCTGTAATTCGTTTTCTTGATCAATTGTATATCCCAGCGAGTAAAAAATGAAGCCTGTAATCTATAAAAATGTATACTAGTCATTTATAAATGTGATCAAATGAAAAGTATCTAAAATATGTATCTGTCCACACACTGTGTAAAACATTTTAAGTCTACAGATGAAAGATATTGGGACATTCATTTATTTTGGTATATAGTTTAACATAAGTAATGCAACGTGTATTTATTTTGGCGTAATTAACATGATGTTCGGTTACCAATTGTAGTAGGATCAGTACACCGCATACCATCCCTCTCAGGACATCAAGAGTTGTCTGTAGCATTTCAGAAGTGATCCCATCCTGGCAGATATTTGTATGAGATACTGTACATAAATATTACTGATATATTCGTAAACTTGAACATTGTAATACATGAAATTTAATATTTGTTAATAAACCTGAGCAATATAATTCGCGATCCCGATCAGTTAATGAAATAACTTGATCCAGGAAATACTTTTTCGATGATATAGAATAGAAAATTAAGTGAGGGTTGATTATCTCTACGTCACCCTCTCGTGTTTAACTTTAACGTTCAGCAGTAACCATAATTTGAGCCTCCCCGTAAAGAGTGAGGAAATTACTTTGTGTATCTTTAACGACTTTAAGTTCCACACCCTCTATATACACACTGTACTGTATATGCAGTATATCACTGAAATCCCATTGTAAGTGAAGATAAAACAGAAAAACTAGTTCCTACCAAATCACTGGCAGATTTTTAAGGACAATTCAAGATTTGACAATAAAAAAGCAGTGAAATGTGAAGAGAGGGAAAAGGTGATCGAGAAATCCAGAAAACAAATGTGGGTAGAGGAAAAGTGAATATGTGTGTGAGAGAGAGAGAGAGAGAGAGAGAGAGAGAGAGAGAGAGAGAGAGAGAGATACTTATATAGGTAGGGAAACAGACTGTGATGGAGAGAGAGGGAGGGGGGAAGACGGGAGAACAGAAGAATATAGTATATATTAACAGGAAAAGACAGAGGCCAGCACTTGAGAGTATCTTACAGTCAATGTGTAGGGGATGTACAGGTACGAGGAGAGAGTTGTTTTCAGCGTGAAGTACAGTTTAGAAATGACTGTCTTTGAAGCACTGCAGCGGCTTTTATGGGCGCAATGATAGAAACGGGTGGGTTGATACCTCTATCTTATTGGTTAGTTTTTCATGCTTTGAAAGGTCAGGGGAGCGAAGAGAAACGGAGAGGAATGTTAGAAGACAATATACAAGATTAAGTTATTACATCAAGACATCAGATCGGTTTATATTTCTCACATGTTGACGACAATAGTATGTGCTAACCTAAAATATGTGTTTAAATGTCTTAGTTGCATTCAAACATTCCATACAAGGAGAAAGTCCTCTTTCCTACCTATTGTTGCATTACTCGCTGTTTAGATAACGAAGGATAGCTCATCAATAAGGGTATATTAATAGGAAAAAATATACTGCATATCTTAGCCTATTTTGTATTTGTGTGAGTTTATTTTAGTTGTTAAAAGGCCTCGTTTCCACTTAAAAGTACTGTATATCAACAATATGTAAAGCTCATGAAGGCAACTTAAGAGTAACAAATCAAGTGGAAGAGTGAATTTTTGTATCTCTCCACATCATAAAAGTATAAGGTATATATATATATATATATATATATATATATATATATATATATATATATATATATATATATATATATATATATATATATAATATATATATATATATATATATATATATATATATATATATATATATATATATATATATATATATATATATATGCAAGTAAATCACTGTAGGTGCGCGTGATCTAGGTATATGCTGATAACCACAAGGAAAGAAAGAAACACGAAGTTCCCAAACGCTTTTCGTGTAATTCACATCTTCAGGGGAGTACAGACTAGTTTTTCTTTCCTTGTGGTTATCATAGCATATATATATATATATATATATATATATATATATATATATATATATATATATATATATATATATATATATATATATATATATATATATATATATATTTATAAATCCACAATACGTGGATAAGATATGATATATATATATATTCAAGACATCTATATATATAATCATATATATATAATATATATATATTTATTTATTTTATTTTTTTTTTTTTACCATTATGGAGATCCGAGCTCACACCCCGCTGTATAATTACATTAGTCAATTCCGGGGTTGTTCGTTGGCTCCTTTCATGGACATGAATTGTTTATGAGATAAAAACTGTATTATTTTAGGTTTGGTTACATTGTCGATATTTTATTTTCTCACATTATTGGGGTGGTGGGTACAGACCAGCAGCTACCATGAATAATTGGTGGAAGTGTTCGCCAAGGTCCGGAATAGTTATCATCTTATATCTATAGTAACGGCCGACCAGTGATTGATAATCACATCCCAAGCAGCTATATTAATGCCCGCAAAGGATACTAAACAAACCCTGTGGGTCAAGCTTCAAGAGGGCTCATCTTCATGCTAGGGATTTTCTTCTGACCACTGTAGATTCTACCTAGGCACTCGGCTCGATTCACAGGCCTTCTGTGCTGGGATAACCCTTCCTCTTGCTGCCCCTGTCCACACTGTTTACAATTGTATCTGCAGTAACAAATGGGCAAACCAACACAGAAACTATACTCTCCTCTGTTGGGCATCCAGTGGTTAACATGCTAGGCACAATAAAGTTAATCGCATCATCAAAAGAGAGTTTGCCTAATGCATCGGTAACTGTAGATCTACAGGATTGATAACCAAGATGGAGTAACGTTATTTCCTTAGAATGAGGGTAAACAAGACCCTGAGCCATGAATATTGCTTTGTCCTACTAAAACTAGATACTATCGGAGCTTGAGGCATCAATACTATAGAATTTCTGAATGAGTTGAGCTTCAGACTAATTAAAACCACCATAGTCTACAGAGCACCCAGCTACTTATTCCAGCGCCTCAGCATAGTGGTTCCGATATCGAATGCTTGGTGCATACTGGGCTGTCATCCTTCACCTGAGAAGGTCAAGTGAGTCTTTTGATGTGACAAATAGCCTATACATAAAGGTTGGCTCTCAACATCGTACCCAGTTTTAAAAAGACGGTCATTTTTTAGTTTCTGAGATTATTATGACTATTTTAGCCTTCAAGAAAACTTAATAAGCAAATATCTTATTCATAACAGAAAGAAGTATGAATTATATACATCAATCGATTAGAGTTTGGTCATATTCTCAGTTCAAGCCTCTGTATGACAGCGGCCACACAGGGGGTGAAGTTTTGGATCACTCAGCTAAAGGACCTCCCTAGTCCCTTCCCTCAGCTCTCCCATCCTTTAGGGTTGTTCGCATATAATTTGCTTTCAAGATATTCCCACAAACTTCACCTCACTCTCTTTTATTTATATCGATCAGAGTTAGTAAAAAAAATAATGTACTTTATAAGGATACATAATCAGATAAAAAATAAATTATTCGTGAAGTCTTTACCAACATAGTGTTTACGTTTCAACTTTCTTGGCAGGACTTTCAAAGCTTTCCTCACATCCTCGATATTGTCAAATGTTCTTGCCGTAGATTTTCGCTATTTTATGATCTGATCCTAAACATTCCCTCTATTATAAAACTTATCAATAATACTTTTTATCGTCTTGTTTTGAGGAACCCTTAAATATTGATATTTTTACGATATTCTCTTTTAATATGAATCATTGACTTTGTGGCGAAATACTTCTCTAAAATGAATGACTGTTGCTTATAATTCTTTTCAGATACCAAGTATAGGTCATTGCCGAGTATAATAGTATCAATCAATCAGAGTACAGTCCTCATATCTGAGGGATGGCGACCACAGTCCTTCACCCAAAACGTTCTCGGGCTGTTCTTTCCAATCCTCCGAGGTTTTGTAGTTCTCTGGAGATCCAACTTTTTTATTTCATTCACCCATCCTAGTCTCTGCCTTTCCCTGGCCCTCCCTACCCTCAACTTTACCCATTAATATTTCTTTTACTATTTCCTCATTCTTTTTATGTTCATTTAAAGTATTTCTCCCGAAGTTTTCGCCAGAATTAGTATTTCTTCATTTGTTTTGCTTTCACTGTAGCTTATTCTTAGCATTCGTCTATAACACCACATTTCAAAGGCCTCCAACCTCCTTCTGGCGTATGCCTAAACGTTGTGCATGATTTGGCTATCGCTAACTACAGAGAAGAAACCTGCACCAAGGTAGTAAGTTTCCCCTCTGATGAAGTGGAACTTAACCGTAGGGAGTAATGTGATACCATATAGTTAAGTACAGACAGTCTGATATATAGAGGTGAAATATTACTCTCTACATCGCATTTTGACTGCGAGAGGATCACAACAAGAGGAGGAAAGCGATCCGTGGGACCTACTACGGTTCTCAGGGCAGTGCCCAAAACATGTATGAAGGAGTTCATTGCCTTCCTTCAGCCGACAACGATAGTTTTTGATGTTGTTCGTGAACAACGTCGCAGAGAACACCTCGAATTCAGTGATAAGATTTATGGCTATAAGAAGTTCGCATAAAAGGCACTGGGGATGATCTGTCAAGGTTTACGGTGGATGAGCATCTAGCCAAGGTGACGAAGCAGCTAAGGTGCTCAACAGAGATCCAAGATTCGCCGCATCTCCAATCCCGGATGCACAGCTGCAAATGCTCCTAACTCCTGATAAAAATCTCCAATTAATTACTTATTCTTGGTGCAGAACTTCTCTGTGTCTCACTTGCAGAGTATAAACTACTACAAAAATCCAGAATAATTATTCTCACTAAGGAGTATCTGATTCAAGACGATGTCCAGTAACTTGCCAGTCATATTTAATGACCTGCATCACCCCACAAGTCATGACAGAGCCTGGCTGTCCCCACTGTACAGCAGTAACAGACATGTGGGACATAGAACATCTGCAAGACAGAACAATAGACGGTACCCAGCGTCTCCTCAACTGCAATGACATTTTAAAATTTAAAGAATAAAGTTTTTTATCGGCGGTACTTTGGAATACAAGCACCAAAATAGACACGCTTACGACGAGGCAGAGAATGCAGTGGTGTCGACTTGAAGGCGTTTCGTACACTTGCCAAAATGTCCTCAAGGTTCATGTCAACGACGCCATTGAAAAAGAACAACTTGGCTGTCTTCTATGCAAGAGGAACCTTCAACATGAAAAAGAATGACTATAATTGACCATAATACTGTCCTCTAATCATAAAATGTATCCTTGACATCTTGATTAAATAGTCATTTCACTTTTTTTCACACTATTCATTTTTCCCATAAAAACAAGTCTGAAGTGTTTACGAACAACTTGGCTCATTATTTATTAATTAATCAATGTAGAGTACCAACGTTGATATATAAAAGATGACCCAACATCATACTGGTAGATTCAAGAGTTTCTGAATAATCACTCGTTTAGAGCAAAAAACTAGGATATTGCAGAGTTTAAGTGGTATTGTATGATATACGATGAAAATCAAGAAAATACTTACACATCTGAAGAGTAAATGTCTTACCTACATAAGAGTAAATAATGTTTATTTCTGTCTTTTGGTTAACAAATTCTACAGCTTTCCGTAAAGGCATTTTCAGGTATGTTTCACATAGTAGGACCTAAGTTCCAGTCCACATAGCTCGTGGACTTCCACATGCAAACAATACCTCACTAGTCGGGAATCGAGCCCTGGACCTCTGAGTGTGAACAGGGATCGCTACCACTTCGTCACAAGGACAACAAATCTGTTCATTCGTCCTTTTTAAGCAATGTGAGCCTCCATCGGGGATTGTCTATGCCAACTATATGGTCGCAGTAGCATTTCACCGAGTCCAGCTCGGAAATACAAGGTTATATATAGCTTGTATATGGAAGTCCACGTGCTATATGGACTGATGAGATACATTTATGTAGCCTCGTATTTCCTAGCTGGACTCGGTAAAATGCTGCTATTTACCATATAGTTGCCTTGGGCTATCCCTTGCCATTATATATATATATATATATATATATATATATATATATATATATATATATATATATAT